TAAGGGTCAGAGCCAGCCCCAAACGTTCTGTAGCCTTAGGCAAAAAAAAGAAAAAAGACGGTGTCCTTCCTCACTTCCATTTCACATGCAGAAAAACCAACTAGAATAGTAGTAAAATCAACCCGGACAGTACAACAGTAATTTTCACTATGCCTGAAGGCAATAAGCTAGTTTAAGAAGAGTAAGAAAAACTGAATGGTATGCATGTGAGTGTATATTTATATATATTGTTCAAGACAGACAAATAGCCAACTGGATCCAAAGGAATAACTGCGGAGCCATCACTATTGACGTGAACTTTAGACTCATAATGGTTGTTTTATTCTCACTAAAGACGGAGCCAGTAGTGATTGTTGTGTATTTTCTGTGCAATTTAAAGTAGCCATTCTATAATAACAAATTATAATAAAAAATCCTTAAATATAGGAGAGCTTATAATCATTTTTACCAGTCTCTGAGTCTCTCTTACTAGATTTCTACTCCTTTTATTCCTATCTCTTTTGGAAAACAAGCTAAAAACAATTGTCTACAAAAATATAAACAACTGCACTAGAGTGCTACCACTTCTTAAGAGAAAAATGTCTGATATTTATACAAGAATTCAGGATGTAGTTCAGAAGTAAAAGAATGACACTAAAAGCGTGAAGGCCAACGACAGTAGAAACTCTTAATGAAAAAAAAAATCTATTTTTTTCAGAATGATGGCTTTTTTTTTTTAAGTAATACTTAAAAACAGTACTCCCAAATATTCCTAGATAAAGATTCAAAAACAGGATTTAAACCTAGGTGACAGCCCAGAAACCTGTTGTCTTAAATTCCAGAGCCTGAGAACTGAAGTACGTTGTAAGTTCATTGTTTTCTAAAACAGAGAAAATATAAATGAATTTAACTTTGAGTCTGTACTGACATCTCTGTACTGAGAATCATTCTAATTCAGATATACATGTGTTATCTTTGGTGCTGTAAACATAGGTTTTACTAGTGATCTTATGAGCAACAAAGCAGCTCTTGGAGGATGTTTTTGATACCTCAGCCATTAAATCTGCTATTATCACAGCTTCTTTTGCCAGGCCAGCAGTATTGCATTTAATGATCTTCAGATGTCCAGGAGGGACATCAACAAACTAATCACTACTTAGGAAAAATATCTCTAGCATCTGCTTTTGTTGCCATGAAGTCCCTTGGTAATGTGCATATCCTCAGCCGAAATGATTGCTTTGGACATGATGGTTCCCAAACAATCATGTTTCTGCAGCTGGAGAGACAAAGAAGCCAAGAATCACCTTTCATCTGCCAAGCTGCAGGAGAACAAGCTGATTGGCAATCCGTTAAATAAATCAAATGCTGAGAGTAGGAAGTAATTTTCTAAAAACACATACATAATACACTTGTCATGCTATACACCAGATCTCAGGGTCTTCAAACTTGTCTATATGCAAGCTGATGAAGTGAAGGCAACATGTGAAATAGCCTAGAAACATGTAATCATGAGAGCTCCAGGCTGGAGAAACAAGAGATCTACAAAAATAATATGTAGCTATTACTCAATATTTAGTTTAACACACACTCAGTCTTAAACACTTCACTGAAAAATGGGATATGATGCTTTCATGTGTCTTCTGAATAAGTCTGCCTGTGGCCTTAGGGCTGCATGCAACCTCTAAAGTAATTTTAAAAGTCTGCTGGTTGTAACCATTTCAGCAATTCCATTTTTTTCTAGACTTATTCATGAAGAGCCAGGGTAGAGAAAGAAATTTTCAGAAACTGAAACACAAAAGAGAGAAACAAGTAGCCATTATTGGTCCTGCCTTGTCCATTGCTTGCTTAAGCCCCATTCACCATCAAAATTTGACTCCCAATATATTATTTGGAAAGGCTATTATTTCAACAGAAAAAGTTCCCCATACTTGATCTACAGTATGATTTCAAGAACCTGAAATCAAATTGTTCTTATTGTTACAAGAATGTTTAGTGTTGTTTTGTTTCATAGTCACCCAGTTTTGAAAATTGGGAGTGTTGCATTCATGGAAAATAATGCACTGCAGTACATCATGGGGCTAGGATCTTCTCAAGCTCTACAGTGGAGGTCAATGTTTAATTGCAGCTCCCATTATAGTGTTAGGCAAAGTCAAAATCTTGGGGTCAAAACTGTTGAGCTATGAAGCATGTACTGTCTGTCTGATCCAGTGCACACCTGGATAAAGTGAGTGGTGGTTAATGATTGTCAGTTCTTAGATTTTTTTCAGAATATAGCAAAAGGTCTTCAGAGGGTGAAGTCAGACTAGATTCTAAAAGGAAATCTTCCTACTCAGGATCTTCCAAGCCAACAGATCCATTCTCTGACTGGAGAATGAAAACCTGACAGAACCTCCATCTTCCCCTAGTCTCTGACAAATCTGAATCTTCAAAACCACATGAGAGTCCTTTAATACTCATCTACTTCCTCCAGAGGGGATGAGTTCAGACAGGATCACACAGACTGGGGCAGCCCTTATAGGGTTCCAAGTTGTTCATGAAACATCTTATTGTTCTAGTAGATAAGAACCTCAGTGTTAAGTTTCTAAGAACCATGTATAGTTCTAACTACCATTTATATGAGAAAATTTCCGCTTCTCATACATTTGCTGGATGGTTCCTTCATACTGGATTCAACTTTGCCTGCTTAGATCTGCCTGTTTTATCTGGTTTAGATTTTCCCTGCTTTGATCAGCTGTTACATATCCTTGACTTCCCCTCCCAAGCTTCAAGTAATTACAAAACAGGCTACATAGAATGCCAGACTTCGTAGAAGTAGGAGGTACACAGAAATATAGCAACATGCAACTCAGTCCTTAAACCTCTTAACTGCTTACCAGGAAATAAACCTAATTTAACATAGCAGCCTAATCTTTAAATACGTATATTCATATAAGATGGTCCCATAAAAAAGCAGTACTAAAAGCCAGAATTGCTAATTTGTTGTTTAAGTTTGATTTTTCATAAAGTGACTTATATGAAATCCTTTTCATTTCAGATACAGACTAGAACTATTGCATTATATTTATTTGAAGTGTTTCCTTCCTCATGTGAAATAACTATTCTTGGTATTGTAAATAGAAAGTTACACAAATGTTAAGTTTAAAATGTGTTTCCAAAGGAAAAGCAATTTCTGCTAACTTGAGTATTAAGTAAAAATCTCATTAGGATTTAATGTACTTAAAAATGTATCCAGGTATTTGCACAGAAGTTACAGAATTCACAAAGAAGAGGTAGCCTGCTATATTATTTTAAGACATCTGATTTTGTGGAGGGGAAGAAGGAAGGCTTGAAAAAGGAACTATCCACCTTAAATTTATATGCATTGGTCCATCCCACCAAATACGACACATGATTTCTAAATGAATCCCTTTATTAGCTTATTGGGGTTATGTTGCTAAGGATCACCTATATAGAAGAATGTGTATTTCATAAGAAGGAGGATAATAACTTATTTATTTATGTTCACAAACATACAACTTCTACTCTGCCCTTGTCATGATATTACTACATCTGGTATAATGGTCATAATAGGTCTTACCAGCTTGGTTCTTTTCCACAAAGGTTGAATGCATGAATGTCCATAAAACCTGGCAGGCAGGCATAATAAACTTTATGCTGATTGGGGATTCTGGGGATTTAAATCCAATACATCTTGAGAAAGTGAATTTGGGGAAAATTGAGCATGAATTGAAAAAAGCCAAGTTTAAATGTCATAAAGCTCATTTTGGTTGCCTTAGGCCAGTGTTTCTCAACTTTGCCAACTTTAAGATGTGTGGACTTCTTATGCTGGCTGGGGAATTCTGGGTATTGAAGTCCATACATCTTAAAGTTGCCAAGGTTGAGAAACACTGCCTTGGGCCATTTGCAGTCCTTCAGGAGGGAGAGGTGAGGTGAGAATAAAACTGGGGAAAAGATGACACCTTGTGTAGGGTGTCTTGTAGAAAAGATAGGATATAGGTTTAAATTTCTAGGCAACCTGTTCACCAGCAAGGTTTAAAGAATAGAATGCAAACAAAAACAGAAAACAAACATACACTGACATGAATCTTACCCAAAACTATCAGTATAAGCTAAGCCAAGGGAGTTTCATTTCACATAAAGATGGCAGTGGGCATTACATTGGGCAAAACTGCAAAATTTCTGGGATGCACAAGACAAATATTTTGAGCAAGGCCAGGCTTACCCCTCAGTTCAGCTGGCAACTACTTTTTATTTATTGTTTTGCTATAAATTCCATGGAATGATTCTAAAACCACTGTGAATAAGACTCGGGAATCATCCAAAAGCCCCATAAAGTGAGAACCTTCAATGATTCATCTTTTGTGATTTATCCTTACTGCTGGGGAAACTGTACTCAGCCTTTTCAAATGACTTCCATTCAGTTCACTTACTGCTGTTTAGAATGGAATGGCCTTGTCTTGAGTAACCCAGGGGCATTCTCGGTCATTCTCTCCTTCACACTCTGGATGTCTTAATGATCATCTTTAGTGGTCCCATTGCCTTTTAGTGTCAGAAAATGTGCTGGGGAAAAAAAGAGTACAGTTTGCTGCTTTAAACCCAAATTACAGCTTTTCAGGATCCATGTATATGGAGTGGCAACATTACCTTGTCGTTTGGCAAGCTGACTGCACCAAGAGAAGATGGAGTTGTGCTAGATAGCAATTGATACATTTGGAATCGTAGTGTAATTCTGAACTCAGACTCTACATGCTGTCACGTACCCGACATTAGCAAAACTCTGCAATTTATTTATTTAAGCAAATTTGCATAGCCGCCCATCTCTCTTAGTGACTCTGGGTGGCATACATAAAAATAATCAAAAATGGATAAAAACCATTAAAAACAACCAATTTAAATTATTATAAAAACAAGATTTTCAACTAGATCTCACCAAGATACTTGGCCATTGATAGAAATACTCTGATTCTGCCCTTGTATTTTCCCCTTCTCATTTCATTGTTTTATGTACATTTTTTTTCCAGGACAGTCCACTGGTCTTACAATCTGACAGGAATGTTACCATGAATGCAAGAAATCACATGGGACACTTAACAGGACAGCTGACTGTAGGTAAGTCTTATTATTTAATAAAACTTTTGTGCATGAATTTAACACCATTCTTTTACATTTCATGGTATAGGAAACAAAAGGTTGCACTTATGTTATTAAAGAAGATGTTGATTTATGTCCTACATTTTCCAGTCAAATATACTATAAGTGGCCCAGAGAGTTAAATTTAAACAGAAATATAAATTGAGTAAATAAATAAATCAAGAGCGCTCTCAAAATAATTAACAGCAACTCCAAAGCAAATCAAAGCAAATTAGTAAAAGCAATCTGAAAAGGTTAACATATTATATGAAACACAAAAACTGGTGAAAAGCATCATTAAACCATACAAAAAGTTTAAGAGAGATAACTCTGAGCAGAAAAAAATGAGGACTGATCTATATGTCTTAAATATGAGACAGCTTGCATTTTAGCAGATTTAGCTCTGTGTTAGCAATTTAATAAAAAGGATAATGTATTACAACAAACTGCTGATCAGATAAAATGAGATTTAATTCTCTGTACTTCAATAGCATCTCCCTCCCTCCCTCCCTCCCTCCCTC